GGGGGGGGGGGGTTCTGATGGGAAAACAAGAAGCAGCAATGCATCTGATTGTGACTGCAGGACTGTAGGTTCCACAGATCCCTAATGCACTGATGTGTTTTGTTCCCACACCCCCCTTTTCTCTCCCTTTTCTATCTAAATCTTCACCCGCCTTCTTCCTTCTCATCTTCTGCTTATTTGTAATCTGCCAGCCGTAAGCCAGAATTCCCTCAGCTCTTCACTTTGACCTCCTTCTTCTTCTTCACTTTTCTATTCCGGAGCAATTCAGCACTTCATTTCTACATACAATTTCAGAAGATCCCTTCACGGTGTATTTCAATTAGCACTAAAATGGTTTAAAGCAGAAAAAAGAAATCCACTGGAATTAAAAACACAGCAGAAATGAAGCCAAAGAAAATATAATGTATGTTACAGTTAATTGCTCCGACATTGATTTGCAATTGTTAACACTTCATTCTCTGCTGTTCTGCAGAAGAAACACATACTCTCTATGTCTACTTCTTTTCTTAAATGATAGTGAATCACTTGTTTAGATTCTGCTCACGGTTGCTACCCAAAGCATAAGAGCTGATCCAATATTTGAGATTGTCGGACAGCCATTTTCATACATCACCAGCTGTTTGTAGTTTTTTTGGAAACATCAATGCAAGACTTTTCCAATTAACCACTGCATGACTGGGCCAGAGGGAGAAAAAGCTAACGCACACAGCTCTGATCCCGCCGCTTCCTGTCTTGTGGGTCAGAATAATGCCGTGGAAGCAAGCCATCAGGCAGCGACAAACGCAAGGGCTTCAGATCTCACGGCCAATCCCGATCAGGCTGCCAACACTCCACAGCTGGCTGGCTCAGAAGCTGCACATGATTTCATTGGGTTCGCCCCCGCCCACCCAAAAAGGCCCTGTCCACATTTTAAGTCTATTGTCCCGGACCCAAAGGTCTGGGTGTCAAAAACACAGGAAAAGCTGGCAGCGGAAACACTACAAGAGCGACACAAAAGTGACCTTGATGGTGGCATCCTGTCCGGAGCAGGAAGAACCCTCCGACCTTGTTATGGTTTGTGGACTTTATTCAAGTGTTAACATGGAAATGGAGGTGATCAAATGGAAGGACAAATGGGGAGGGGGATGGATAAATGAAAATAAATAAATACGAATGAGGAGGAAAAGTCGGGCAAAGGTAGAAAAGATACCAGAAAAAAAAGTTTGTGCAATGAAATCTGTAATAATGAAACCAAGGAGATTTAACACATAATGAGAAGAGAAGTAAGAGTTGCCAGAGGAAGGAAGCTAATAAAAAAAGGAAGAAGAAAGACAGATGAGAAGCAATGAGGAGAAAGGCAAGACAAGCAGGGCAGGGGGAGGAGCTGAGAGGACTTACCAGCAGGAAGGTCCTGATGTTGGGGATTTTGTTGAGCTCCATGAGGAGTCGCAAAGCCTTCTCGTGGTTACTGCAGTACTCGCCGTACACTGAGAAACTCTTCCTCTGCAAAGAGGAGGAAAACAGAGGTGAGGATGGCAGACCAGGGACTTCATATCATACTTTAATGGCTGCATTAAGAAATCCATTGTGAAAAGTGAAAGAGGGAACAATCAGATAACAGAGCAGAGCAGAAAGCTCCAGCTACTCAAATCTGATGAGATTTGGTTCTGCTATTTCAAGAAGAGCAATGGATAGTAGAAGCAACTAGGGGTGTAACCACGGGTGTACCTCGTGAATTTCTTCAAAATACCATATCGTGCTTTTTGGACAAAGATATCATATTTGCTGATATTGCAAAGTCTGCCATAATATTATTTTGTTTTGATTAAATTCAGGCATCTGCGATCAATTTGAGACTTCATATGCCCATTCAAGGCAATAAGTGACATTCATAACAATTCACAAAAAGCTCAAAGTTAAAAGTATGATTTGTAAATCATGGCAGCCTTTTCATAGGAATAAAATATATAGATTTTTAATAAAAACTAAAACAGACCTCCTGTTGTTCACTATAAAGTGCAACATTTCTAATGTTCAAGCAGAGTTTTAAATGTTTAAACTTGCAATTGGGTATTTCAAAAATATGATTCCCCTTTGCATCGATGATATAGGATTGATGATCATTGAATTTATGCTTCGAGACATAGAGTTACTGTTACAATATTTGCCGTTTCAGGCAATGATGGTGAAGTGTAACTGCAACAATGATCAGACCAAATGATTGAGAGAATATGGACTTAAATGGCTCTGCAGCAGTGTTCATTAACACATTTGCCACACTTCTCTTTTTGATAAAAAAACTCTATATCAAAATTGCATGCCAACACAACACACTTCCCTTTTCTTCGATGACAGCCTCACACTGTGCAACATTAAAAAACAACCACAGCGCTCATGTAGAAGTATTGTCGAGCTGCCATTTGGTTTTCTTTACAATACGTAACGCGAGACCAAACAAGTGAACACTCTATAGTTTAAAATGCATTATTCATGCAGCATACTGTTGACAAGAGCGTATACACGGATCAGGGCCACAGGTGAATTTACAGCCTGGAGCTTATCGGGTGTGTTGTTAACTATGCAACAGTAATTAGGATGTGAAACTGTGAGCCAATGGGGCCTTGAGCTTGAGGTCTAGAAACTAAAACTGTCATCTGAAACAGCCTAGCAAGTGAAATCCAAAACCCCAGGTGCTCGGACGGACACCGCTTTCAAGCCTTATTCGCAACAGCTCGAAGGGTTTGCATTTAATGCCAGCTTGGCCATAAAGCAAAAGGAATAATAATGGGTGCACAATTAATCGTAATTTGATCAAAATCGAAATATGGACTAGTACAATATCCAAATCGGAGTAGGCAAAAATGTTGTTGACGGGTAAATAAGTCAAAATGTTCTCAAAAACAAGTCCAGGCCTAAAAACTGTTCTCAGACTTAAAATAAATCATGTTTGGTAAATATACTCACATTATGATTATTTAAAAATGGTTTTAATGATAATGTGAATCATGATTTATTAGAATCAGAACCCAAAATACTTTAATTAGGCGGGGGAAATTTGGGTTTTGTAACATACAGCCTCAAAAATATCCTTGAAAACCCCTTTAAAAATACAACAGTGTACCAAGCCAGCATCCTGTTCAGGCGTAGGTGTGCAAAAGGATCATGTGTGTTGTTTTGCTATCACACACCACACGCAAGCTTACAGCCACATACACTGTGTGTGCATGCGTCTGACATGGAAACCCATTGGTGGTGACTGGAGCAGCCAAACAAAGCTAACAGCTCTTTTTATAGATCTGCGTGTCTCTGCTAAGTCCTAGTGCTTGACCAGAAGGAGCTAAAAATCTTTTGTGGATGTGAAACACACAAGTGAGCTGCACAATATAAACATTGGGAAGTTTTGACCACACAGGCAGGCGGGAACCCAAACACGCCCAAAGCCACGTTTGGCAGGGGATTCCAGTCCCAGAAAACACCGCTTGGAGCAACAGCTGGGCCGGCATATGGCGTGAAACCCCAGATACTGTCAGACTGGGTTAATGCACAGCCAGAGTATACAGCACAGGGGCTTGTACATGTACCAATTTAGTCTATTTGTTCATGTTACATTTGTAGCACTGACAATGGCGGAAGCATATACATATGGCACATCATTAGGGAAAAGGACTATACTGATGTTTCTAAATGATTCTACCCAAAATTCAAAAATAATCTACCATATATATAACATTCATTATTCCTAGCAGACAGTCTGCTTTTTGTTTATTTTGTGAAGACTTAAAATAAGAAGGGAGGTAGTATTTACAGACTCACAGTAGCAATGTCATAAAATCATGTATTGCAATAATTTGATTGTGGTGGTACTTTCCCCGTGGCACAATGCACCGCTATTTGAGAGGCATCTTATTCTTTGGTAAAGTATTCTTAAAACCAGGCAGTTGTCATAAAGATTCTTAAATTAACCAAGGTTTTCTTATTTGTTAGTTAAGGACAAGATCCAAACAGTCATAGCAAAATTACCCACATGTATGTGCTGAAAAGTTAAATAAAATAGTTTATTGTGTTTTCTTTTATTTGTTGAATTAAGCAACATTTTTCTATATCATTTATACTATTTTTAACTATTATTTGTATTATTTTAGAAAACATTATCGCCTAGTTTTTAATTCAAATAAATAATGTTCTTACACTTCAATTATGTTATTGGTAACTGCCTGGGTTAATGAGGCAGTTACCAATAACATTGATCATGTTGTTTATAGGCCTAGAGTGGCTACTCAATACGAAGCTTGTTTGGTGTTTACGTCCTGCAGAACTATTGACCTTCTCTCTTTTGAATTTAGATTGGGTCTTTTTCACCAAATGTTGTCAAATTTATTTTCAATTACGTGCGCACAGGTGATAATTAGGATCAACTGGCAGGCTTTCAATTATTAACGACAATGGAATGAATAAATAAAAGATTACAGATGCAAAGCATCGAGCACAGTTCAAAAGTAAAATTGGAAAAACGTTTTGAACTTTCTCAAGCACAATTCCAAATTTAGCTGGCCAGTTGCATCAAATATGTGCACACCTTATATCATAAAGCAAAAGGTGAATAATGCAGGGCTCGCTCATAAAGCAGTTTACAGGGATGTCAATTGCACACCAAGTGTGGGGTTAACACATGGAACAATCACTGCATTGTCCGTTAACTTATTGCTGTGGGTAGACTTAGCAACTTTAAAACTGCACTCTCCAATAGCCTGCTATTCATTAAACCACAGAGGTTAAAAGAATAAGTCTTCTGCCTCTCTGCTGTCCACAATAATTTAACCAGAAATGGCTAGCAACGACTAAAGTGAACATGCCTAGACTGTGAAGTCCAGCAGTAAACAGGAAGACATGTTTCCATGCGTCAGAGTCCCAAACTGATTGTTGGTGTTCTTGTACATAAATTAAGCCATTCAGTCTATATCAGAAAGACACCATCAACCCACAAACAGACTACTTTAGCACACTGAAAATAAAAAAAATTAAATTAAAGGGGCCCTATTACGCTTTGTGGGGTTCTCCCTTCCCTGTAATGTGTTATATAAGATTTTGTGCATGTAAATGGTCTGCAAACACTAAAATCCAAAAGTTCACGCCAGAGGAAACTTCTCTCCTTCGGTTTACACTTAAACACTCCTGGATATGGTGGCACTTGAATGATAGGAATTGTATCTCCTTTCACTATCTAGAACTGAACCCTGTTGGTCCAAGAACAGCATGCCTTTTTGCAGCTATGTTTACAACTGAAGCCCACTCCAAGGTATTTCCTTCTGCTCAGGTATAAACAACGTGCACAGTCAATTCAGGCACAACTAAATGCCAACATGTGAACCCTAGAGTCAATTTTAAACATTGAGTCTACTCTGGAAGAATGAAAGCCATCAGTTGTACCTAAAATAGCTCAAAGACTGGGGTTGTCCCTTTGATAAACATAAGGCTTTATTTGAATTCTTCATCATTGGAATGTTATTCCGCAGGCTAGATGAGAGGTTGGTATCACACAGAGGAATCACATAGAGTCAAAGCATAATGGGAGTAGTTCAGAAAGTGCATAATGACACGACTGTTGCTCCTCGCACAGTGCTCATGTATACACTCCCAGAAATAGAGCAAATATTGATGTCCTTGATTTCTGCTCCAACATGAGTCACTTTTTCACCTTTGCAGGGCTTGAATAATCTCATGCATGCCGTGTGTGTGTGTGTGTGTGTGTGTGTGTGTGTGTGTGTGTGTGTGTGTGTGTGTGTGTGTGTGTGTGTGTGTGTGTGTGTGTGTGTGTGTGTGTGTGTGTGTGTGTGTGTGTGTGTGTGTGTGTGTGTGTGTGTGTGTGTGTGTGTGTGTGTGTGTGTGTGTGTGTGTGTGTTATTTTTACGATTTTTCCATTTCACGCAAATGTGTTGAAACAAATGAAAATGTAGAAACGTCTTCTCCAAATTGACACCACATGCGCAATATTAAACGCGGCAAGAAGCTCAAAATACAATGGAAAAGTTGGCCAACTTTAAAATCCCCAAAATTAAACAAGTGGTGTATTTGTATTCAGATAATTTTCTACTTGAAGTATTTTGTTCAGCAGCACTTTTAGTAAACGCTGCGCATGTGTTGTCAAGTTGGTGAAGACGTTTCTTCCTTGACATCTTCATCATCACATAGAACTGAAATACTACTTAAAGTCATTATATCATTGCTACAGTGACATTAAATGGGTTTGGCTTTATTTCTATGACTCACCATCACAAAGGTTTCTTTGCTGTCATGGCAGTGAAGTTGACTTGAAATAAACGGGATTTATGAAGAGGCCTTGACTTTCCACCTATAACATATCCACTCTGACCTCTACATCTTCCAGTCTGACCACGGTGCGAAGTGGAAAAAGAAAAGCTCGGGCTCCTCTAATCAATTCTCCATCCTGACACTTGGCCTGACGGACCGAATGACCCTCACACATGTGTGAAGGTACATTTTGATGAGCCAATTCAACAGTTATCCACAGATGGGATTAAACGTCCTTCATGCTACAGGAGGCAGTGGATGTGTTATTATTGTTTCATTTTATAGGGATGGTTCAAATTGTATGTAAACTGATTTTTTTGTTGGGGTATGAGTCATTTATAATAAGCGAAACCACCTCCCCAGACAGAAATGATGTTGTTTTGACCAATTCAATTGCATATTGAGTGTACATTTTTGCATGTATGCGTGTTTGTATATTAAATGTGTTTTCTATAGTAAAGCGTCTTTGAATGCCTAAGGAAAGCTAGATACATTAACTCACTTGTGGTCTAATGCCACTGCATTGTACTGGTCTGCTTGACTCCTCACTAGTGGCACTAGGGCATTATCTCTATTTTGAGTAGTCTGTTTCTTGCAGTGAACACTGTAGTTTTGCTGGCTGTCATTTTTTTTTAAATCTGGGTCAAGTGAAAACAAACATTGCTGCTGATCTTGTGGGTTTATTTGTTCACAACAATAAGATTTTTTTTCTGCTTCGAGAAACTAAAATGAGTGTCCCGCTGCACTGACCATTATGGCTGATGGAGAAAACTGATGGTGGGATACCAATCTGAAGTGTTGTGTGCCTCAGTGAAAGTGAATGGAAGATAGTTGATCAGGGAGGGACAAACAGAGAGTGGAGAGAAGGAGCCTCTGATGGAGTGCTACCAGCAGAAGCATTGTCCCCTGTGCTGAGTGACACACCATCTCTTCCTCCCCGGACACAGACCCTGCTTTGTTTGTTCCCTGGGGCCAAACGAGTTCAAACAGAGGGGAGCGGAGAGGGGGGGATTGCAGAGCGGAGAGGAATCTTTGGATGGAGGGATGGAGGTCCAAAAGAAGGAGATGGCAGAAACACAAAGTGATGAAGAGAGACTCTTTTTGCCTGACAGGATGCAGGCCAGTTTGGAAAGGGGTGGAGAGACAGAGAGTGTGTGTGTGGGGGGGGGGGGCGGGGGTTCTTCCATGTGAGAAAGAGCAGAATCTAAGAGGTGTTTTCAGCCCCAGCAAGGCCTTTGCACGCTTCTCCCTGCCCTCTGCGGTTACCGGGGTAAGCCCATGAAAAGGAGTGGTGTGTTTTTGCATGGAAGAGAATCCAATCGGATGACGTATGTGTTCAATGGTAAATGTCCTCGTATGTCCGTGTGACAGTTTGCTGTTTTTTGTGGCGTGTCATTGGTACTCACAAACTCTCAGGAACACGTGTCCCAATTCCCCAGTGCATGATGCGGGCTGAGGTTCGGGCTGCAGACTGGCCTCAAATGGCGGACAACACCTTCTTGTGCAACTCCAGGCATGTCCTCAATGTTTGAAAAACAGAATCTGAA